GTGAACCAACAGTGTGTCGACAGTGTGTTGGTTGGGTTGGTTGTCCATGAAAATGAATCAAACGCTAGCTTTAAGCTTTAAACCTTAAACCTTGAGCGGCCTCAAGTACTCAAGACCTGGGCATGCAAGCGTTTGGATGTGTATCATATGTATATGGCTCATCAGATCTGAGTGCAGCTGGTTGCCACAATGTTCGATTCCAAGGATGCATTAAAATGTTTTTAAGCCTCTGAATGTCTTTGAATATATAAAAAGTAAAATTAAAAGGCAAACTAAACTAATGAATCGTTCTAGGTATCCCAATGACAATGTTATCATTTCTCGTCAGAAGTCATTCAAGGACAAATTTATATGGCTGGCTGACTGACTGACCCGTAGAAACAAACTTACCTATCGTCCAGATTCTCCACAGCCAACATTGGCCAACCCATTCCAATCCCAAATGAGATAGAAGAAACAACCATCCCAGGTCGTCCCCATCCCGCCCAACTGCCCAACCACTAATCTGCCACGAAACGCTTATTCACCTCACTGGCTGTGTCCGGTGTAGATTTCAGCAACCAGAAAATCTTCCAAGGCCACCTGTGTCAGTCAGTGTCAGACATCAATTGATTCTTAGACTGTTTTAGGCCCCATGGGCCCCATGATCATCATGATGATGATCATCATCATGATGATGGTGATGGTGATTCGGTGATGATGATTCGTTGGTGTTGATGATGATGCTCATAGTGATCATGATGATGATGATTCGATGATAGTAACAGAAGCAGCTCCGAGCACTAGCAGAATGCAAACAGAGTGACAAAGCGTGGTCTGTCAAGTTAAGCTGAACGCTTATATACACAGGTTAGATAAAGGCGCATAAAATTTATGTTTTTTTTCCTACCACCACGCCACCTGCTGAAGGGTGTGACAATGCGCCGAACAAAGCCAGAGTGGATGTGCAAAACCATCCGTAGAGCAATTGCTTGCATTGCCGACAAATCAAAGGAAGCATCTTGATTACACCAAATCGACATGCGCTCCAGGCTGGCAAGAATCTCCCGAGTCCATTCACCAATTGTGTCCTGGATACGGTCAAATTCATTCTGCAGCTGTGGAATGCGGTTGGTGATGAAGTCAACGACAGGTATGTCTGATGATGGGCAGTCGGACCTGAATGCTTTCCCAGAATGCCAGGACGAATATGTTGAGAGGATATTGAACATGTGTCTGACCGGCTCGCGGATCTTGTGCGACATGTAGACAAAGTACCACCATGCTGGCGACTGAAGAGCTTCCAAAGAACCTTTGATCCATTTGGTTACTTTGGCTCTGTAGTTTTCTTGGTCTTCATTTGCCATCTCGATGATATCGTCCTCTACCATGTTCGAATCGGAGCGTTTGTCAGCCTGCTCCTTGCATTGATTGTATTCGCTGGTCTGAAAGGTTGCTAGGAACACCATGACTATGTGTTCTGGAGGGCCGTCCAACATGAATTGCTCAGAGCCTAAGTTGAAATTGATCAACAGACAGATCAGACTGATCAATGAATCAATGAACCAATCCAAACCAATGACTCGACCAATGATTAACAACAATTCAACAAATCAACAAACTGCTTGATTTTGATATTTTTGCTTTATATACTACCACTACTCACTACTACAGCTATTCAGCTATTATGCCTTTACTTAAACTATCAGACTGTCAAATTGTGTTGTACACTTGTAATGAACTTGCCGTCCGTCCTACCTCTTTACATTACGGGACCCATAGGCCCATAGGCCTACAATGGTTTTGTGCAATCGTGCATAGCTCTGTACATAGTACATAGCAAATGTTCCAAATAGTCATGGTGGCTTCAACTTCAACCACATACTAGGTCTAGAACAGAGACAAAGACTCGACTAAGATAACAAAAACACTTACTATATTTACTAGTTACATTATTGTTGGTGTTGGTTGACTAATCGCTGCCGAGTTGAACAGAGTTGTCAAAGAGTCAAGTTGTCAAGAGTCAACACCAGTGCGCTCCAGGCATGCGCAAAAAGCTAAAGTCATTAAAGTGTTGTCTGATAATACAATAAATATACACACGATCTTGCCCAACTGTCTCACGTCTCACTGCTTTACCACCCAAGAAAACATAAACTCCAAAACCATCAGTGTTGAGTTGGCACAATGTACAACCCAAGCCATAGCCAAGCATGCTAGCTAATCAAATCTCCTGCATGTCGCTTGCCAAGAAGCCATCGATTGAACCCCAACGACCTCCTATTGCGAGAGGAGGAACACAGCAGGAAGCCTTGAAATTGTAGGCCCCTGGCACTGCAGCTTGCCAAACTTTTGCTAGTTTGGTGCCATGGGCGCGCCACGTGTGGCACACCTTCGCCAACGAGGAGAAGTAGCCGCCACTGTGACCACATTGGCCCAGAAATTGCGATGCCATCTTCAACGTGTCCAGCGTGAGCAGGTGCAGTTGATGCTTTAAGCATGGCGCCTCAAACAGCAACTGTCTCTCGTATCCAGGGCCACGCAATAGGGTCTTCAATTGAGCACGGAATGCAGCTTGGTCTGCACCGTTGTCACTGCAGATGGACCAAATATGAACATGAGTCTGTGGCAAGGTTCCATTCCTTGGTTGACACGGAGTTACACGAGCCACAGAAAAGAAGCTTTGAAATTGATACTGACACTCATATGACGCACAAAAAGCATACAAACATTTACCAAAACAAAATAACTGATTATCAACCAACATGACCACCAGTCACCAATACATAACTGATATATCAACGGTTCAAGTCTCTTCATCTTGGCTGCAATCTCATCCCAATGAGGACACTTGATCAGCTGAAGTTGCTTCAGAATAATGGCCAGATTGCCTGCTGCTGTGCCCTCTGAGACCACTTGGAGGTCACACCTTGAGTGTTATGACTTTTTAAAGCCCGGGTCTGAACCCTGGCCCAACCAACTAAAACTGCCAACTGCCAACCAACTAGAATCTTGGCAGCGGATATGACAAATCACATTATTTAAATGACAGCCAGCGACACAAGCTAAAGAAACAGGACACACACACACCAAAGATACAAACACAATTCATCCCAAATACTTTGGGCCTCTGGAGGTTTAGCTAAGTTCAATGGCATGGAATGAAGCTCACGGACTCATAAACTCATGGACCCAGCCAGTATAGTAGAGATGAGTCCACAGTCGACATCATCATTCATCATCATGAATCATCGTGTACTATGTCAACCTATGAGCGGCATTCATGGATAGGCTAGTAGTAGGCCCGATTGGCAAAGATTGACCAAGATACACTGTAGTGTGATGTGAAAACGCAGCATGCCATCCAGCTGTTCTTCGAATCTCCTTTGGGTCTGACATCACGGCGCTGGTCAATAGCAGTGATTGCAACTTGTTGCGCCTCCAAATGCCAGAGTTTGTGGCGTCACCTGAAAAGGCCGTGCCTCCCAAACTCAAGATCTGTGAACAACCTTCTGCAGTTGTATCAATGTTCCCCAATACCCATTGTCCTTGCCAAGTCGATGGCTTTGGAAGCCCCAGATCAGCACACGTCAACACCAAGGAATCAGCAGTGGACACCGAAACAATTGCATCCATCGTCGTGTTGTCTGTCTGATCAGCAGCGCTCTCTGATTGCTTTCGAATCCAATTGGAAATTTGTTCCAAAGCCGTGTACATGCACTGGTGCCACGCACCAGATCGACACACAAGCATACTCCACACAGCGTTTTCAGCTCGTGTAACTGTTTGCCGTGAGGTGTCGACTAACGCCAGCAATGGGAAGGCAACTGATGAAGACCACGCCAAAGATTTTCTGACACCTAGGGCGATAAATCCACGACGTGTCAATCTGATGTTGTTTGATCCCTTGGATATCTCAAGGCAGGAACTGTCATAGTCATGTGCTGCAATTTCCTGACTTGGACCTCGCACAGATACTGCTTGTAGCTTCCTGTACATCCTTCGAACTCTCTTCAGCTCTTTCTGGTAGACAGAACATTTGTCTTGCAAGTCCAGAACTCGCTTCACTAGAAACTTTTTGTGCGCTGTCTCTAATGACTGTTGGCAAGAAGTCCATGTAACACGTGTGCTCATCCTTGGCATACCGCTTTGGCTGTCCTGAGTCTGACTGTTGTCATCATCCACGCACACAATTGGCAAGAGCTGGCTGTCAGAAGTGGCGCAATCTGTTCCCAGCCCCAGCCCCAAAGAAGTTGATGTAGATGTTCTGGTGAGACTGACAGACCTGGACCCTGAGTCAGATCGATTGCTACTAGTAGGACCAGGAGGTCTTTCCCCCAACATAGACACATCTTGGTCGTTCTTCAGGCGCAATGCCACCTCATTCATGTCGCGCCTCACATCACATTCTTTCTCTAGCAAAGAACGCCACGAACTTGGGCTGATGTGCGGCATCAACTCCTCTAGGATATGCAAAGAATACATAGTCCCAGCAGTTGTGTGAAGTTCATAGCTAGTTGCCTTATTTGTGACCCGACTCATACACTTGTCAATTGTCCATGTCAGCCGCGAGTTCATGTTTTCCTTTTTAATAGGCTTTAATGCTGTTGGTTGGATAAGGTACTGACTGTAAGTCTAGAATCTAACATAAAGGAGTGTTGCTGCAGTGTTGCTTCCACACCAAGTCTTGTCCCAGCAAGAGCCTCCTACCCCGCAAAAAAAACATATACAACATACAGCATACAAAAAACACACACACACACACACTTGTAAAGGATCTATCAGACCGGCCTCGGCCTGGGGCCTTGACCATTGCTCAACCAAAGTACAAAACCGACACTCACCTATGACCTATGTCATGTCAGTTTGTCACTAGTTGTCAACTAGTTGTGGCAAACAGTCAAACTGTGGAGAACTTACCTGTATTGTTGGTCTTCCAGGTCTTCCAAGTAACCTGAGATTGCGCGCCTAACAGTTGCGCTGTCCACGATCGCCCGTGTCTCTTAGCTTCTGTTCTTGAGGAGGCCGTCGATGACACGAAGTTGGTGAAGAAGCTGGACAACCTTGGCGAGTCTTTGCCAACAAACGGAGAACCACGTGGGACCAAGGGAAGTGAAGTGCTTTCTTTTGATAGAAGATCAGTAAGCCTGGCATAGGCCATGGATTTGCAAACTTTGGTGGTACATTTGCAGTGATATGCAAGCTGAACATAGTTGAAAACAAAGCGGATCACTGATCGCAGTTGAAAATAAATAAAGATGGTGACCCATCAACTTCAAGTGGCCACAAGATTCTAACATTAGGTTTATAGTTTATTTGTTGTTGTTTTTGTCTCGTTCAACCGAGGATTTGGTTGATCTACTGAGCGTGCTCACTGATCGACGACTGATCGACAAGCGCGATATGTTTCAGTCTTTGGTTTTTTGAACAACTAGACTTAGGCCGTAGGCCAACACACAACAACAATCTATCATACAGGGTTGGGTTAGGGTTGAGACGAGAGTTGAATCAGTTGAATGTCGATTCGTAACAAGAACAACAACAACATCACATATAACAACAACAACAAAACCGTCAACTATAATCAATGAATCATTCATTGACCATTACTTATTTATCAGTACAAACACGGTCATGACCAACATCAGCCAGTCCAGTCACCTGTCCTTCCTGTATTAATTAACTAAACCTGTGCCTTGGAGTCCTTGGAGGGCCAAGACCAAAGATTGAAACAAATAGGAAAACAGATATCTCAAATGACCGAAGTACTCTGGCGCTGACAGCACAAGCTCCTTCTTCGAGCCAGTGTCACAGAGCCGTGCCCGCGACACCAGCCGCAGGATGTGGGACAGGTCTCCCATGATGTGCCATGCGACGACACGATTGCGTTGTTCTATGATGTTTGTTCTGTTGAAGTTTTCCTATGCATAGGGAAACCCTGAATGTGATATTATGAGTGCATGGCTAACTGTCATGGGAGCTAAGCATCTTGCCTTCAAGTCAAGTCAACCCGCGCGGAGAGAAAGAAAGACAGAAGCATGTGTTTCTGTTTCTTAAATTTAGACATGACATTACACTACATTACATTATATATATTCCAAGCAACTTTTCCCACATACCAATTTTGCATGTATGTGTTTTGTTCTTGCGAGTGTAGTTGTAATGACGAGCCGCATACCCTCAACTGAGCCATCGTGGCTTTCCTGCCAAATGCGGGATGCACCTGAATCTGCACACAGCCACCATTTTCTCTGAAATCATTGACACACTTGAATCTTAGCACATCTAATGGTTATTTGGATACAAAACCCACAGTGTATGTTCAAGTGACACTGCTTCTTCTGAGCATGTTTCTTGTGTGTGTATCATGTGATTTTGGCTAGACAAAAACTCCTTCTAAACCCACTTGGGATTGATGTGAAACCCAATTTCCACCCTCAAAACATTGGTGTGAGGCCCTCATGTTTTATTCTGTAGCTCATATTTCTTGACTCCAACTATGTTTTTTATTATTACCTTTGTTTTTTTTTGTCTTCTGGAACACTTTTTTGTCATGCAATGTGCATGTTTTATCTCTCCCAAAACTGTGTTGCTGTCAATGATTTTTATTAAACCAATTTGTGTTTTTTCATATGTAATATGTTGTTTTGTCACTCCAAACTCATGATTTGGAAGCCTCGTTTTTTTTGCAATATGTTTTTTTTCAGGTTAAATTTAAAAAAACACTATGCGCTACACTCATCTGTAGTCTCATCCTTATATTGTGTATATGTTCCAAGGGCGCACTCACAAGCGCCGCCCTCACAGCACTGGAACCTACTCAGACTGCAAGTGGACATCCCTAACAATTTCCACATCTCACCATCATTTCCCATCGATGCGCAAGTGACCCGCTGAGTCGATGAAGTCGATGCGTAAGTGACTCTCCGATGCGCAAGTGACCCCCGATGCGCAAGTGACCCATTTTGCGATGCGCAAGTGACTCTCCTGCCTCAGTAACCTCACCTAATTACATGTCAGGTGCAAGAACTTACATTGTTTGGTGGTTGAGTATCTTTTCATTTTCTCCTACCCCCCCACCCAATAGATTGTTGGTGGTTGAATGTCCTTTCACCTTCACTTTCCCCCTGAAAGTGCGCAAGTGAGTGCTAAGTGCGCAAGTGAGGTGAAGTGCGCAAGTGAGGTTATTTGGGGG